CACACTCACCAGATACTCAGCAGACGTCCAAACACACGCTCAGGTACTCTCCAAGCGTCCCTTGACTTCTGGGTTGCTCTCCTTGAACCTGGGGTCCTTGTCTTAGTTCTGAACCAGTAGCAGATGCTGAGCTGAGGGTGTTTGGGTATCAGTGGGAGGGACCAGGAGCAGAAGGAGGTAATTAGAGATGCAGGGATGATGGAGGGTGCTGTTTCTAAGAACCTGGGGAACACCCCCAAATCCTCCAGCCTCGGAGGAGGGTCTGGGTGATTTATATCCTGGTATTGTTGAACCACTGTTACAGGTCCCAGGGGACATTAAACCCAAGGCACTCTGGGGCCACCGGGCCATGGATTGTCTTGGTCTGTTTGTGTTGCTAAAACAAAATACCCAAGACCATTCAGGCATGGTTGCACACCTTTAATCCCAGTACTTGGGAAGCTGAGGCAGAAGATCTCTGTAGCATCAGTCTAGCCTGGTCTACTTAGTGAATTCCAGGCCAGCTATGGCTATAGCAAGACCCTGTTTCAAAAAACAAAACGAAATCAAAACCCAAGACCAAACATTTTAATTTTTAAGTTTTTTAAATTCATTTGTATGTGTATGTGCATATGTCTGTGTTTTTATATGCACCAGTGTGCAGGTGCCTGCGAGGTCAGAAGAGGGTGTTGGATCCTCTGGAACTAGAGTTACAGGTGGTTGTGAGCTGCCATGTGGGTTCTGGGAACTGAATCCAGGTCTTCTGCAAGAGCAGCTGATGCTCTTAACTGCTGAGCCATCTCTCTAGCCCTCGAAAAAAAAATTTTTTTTGAGACAGGGTCTCTGTAGCCCCAGCTGGCCTGGAACTCACTATGTAGACCAGACTGGGCAGGAACTCACATAGCTCTACCTGCCTCTGCCTCCTGAGTGCTAGGATTAAAGGCATGCACTGCCATACCCAGCTTAGCAACTTGTCTCATGGTACTAACCTAGGGACTGAACCTAGGGTCTCATACATACTGGACAAGTGTTCTACCACAACTACTTCCAGGCCTACTACAAAGGGCAGAAATTTATTTCTCAAGATTCTGGGGTCTAGGGACTCCAAGGTCAAGGGGTAGGGAATGTTTGTGTCTGGTGAGAGCTGTGTGCTGTTTCCGTGACCACATTTGAATAGCATGGGCATCTTGCTGCTGTGTCCACCAGCAGGACTCACACTTGGTGGATGTTGGATGGGGCTCTGATTTTGCTCCCAAGGACTCTGTCTCACTACTTTCCCCTGGCTGATTTAAGTTTCAGCATCTGAAAGGGTTTGGGGGCCCCTGGCACCTGTCTGGGATTACTTCTAGTCCTTAGTGTGTCTTGGCAAGCCAGCTGGGGTTCCTGGTTACTCCAGGCTGTCCTCTCGACAGCCTCTCTGGTACTCTCAACTTCGATTGTGTGAGATCTTGACTCCATATTCCTACATCAGGGCCTCCTGTCCCCAAGGGTTCCTTCAACGTCAGCTATGGATGCTCCTCTCTACCCAGTCCTCATCAGTCCCACCCAGACCAGTGAGGACCACACGACTGGCCCATGCAGGCAGAGGGTCACCGTGTCCTCATTCTCTTGGTTCTTCCTCCTGAGTTGTGTCCCTCACGAAGTGGTACCCTGTGTCTCCTTGACTTCAGTCATTAGTGGTCTTCGACGTGACTGAGGCCTGGTGACATCTGCAGCTGCTGGGATAGAGGAGAAGCTGGGATCCCACGACTTGGCATTGTGTGTCCAGCTCAAAGTCTCCTATAAAAATAACCGATGAATAAGAACTTGCTTCGGGACGTGAGCCAGCAGCCCTCGGCTGACACAGGGTCAGGAGAACTCAGAGAGCCTGCGTCTTTACATGGAAGGACCAGACCGTTGGGATTGCTGGCCCACCTCCTCCCTGCAGCTGAGTGTGGTCCCTGGGAAGGGAGGGTAGGCCGAGGGTGGGCCCGGACACCCCTTCAGGCCTGTGTGGACTGTTGATCTCCTTCATGGCTTTATGACCTTCCCGTTTATCTCAATCTCTCTATAACCCAATTCTCACCCAGGTCCCAGAGAGATTCTTGCTGGGATTTCCAAAGCTATCTGTGGCCAGGCCCCCTCAAACAGGGACACCTCAATACATCTTGGCCTTCTCGTCCAAGACTTCCCAGGTGTCCATGATGTCCATGCTATTCAAGCACAAAGGTTATTAATTATTATTGTTGTTGTTAAAAATTACATTCTGAGATTGCAAAGTGATAAAAAACATTCACTAGAGCCAAACCCTGTGTGAGCCTCTCGCCCAGGCAGCAACTATGTTAACTAGTGCTTCTGTGTGCCTCCTCCAGTGACATCCACTTTAACCATGTAGTGATTTGGGGCATGCAGCAAGGGATGGCTGTAATGGCTCTCATTGGATAGATGGGGCCCTGAACACACAGGTTAGCAACTCTCTCGAGGCCACAGCTCAGAAATGGAGCAGCTGAGATCTGGACTCTGACTGGCTTGAGACAGTGATGCCAACTAGCCAACTAAGGACTATGTGCTTCATGGATGATCCAGTCTGGGAAACAACTGTAGCTCAGAGAGGTCAGGTGATTTGAGCAAAGACACACAGGGCATAGAGTAGTGAGTGAGGACTGAGGCTCAAACCCCTTAAAATGCAAACAGTTCTCCTTCTAAGGCAGTTTACTGAGCCCCCAGGAAGAATGGCCTGTTTTTTATTTATTTATTTATTTATTTATTTGTTATTTATTTAAACTCTCAGATGAGGAAGACCTAGCTTAAAAAATTACATTTATTTCTTTGTTTTATGTATATGAGTATATTGTGTGCATATATGTAAGTGCACCTGTGTCATGCAATGTCTACGGTGGTCAGAAGAGGGCATTGGATCTGCTGGAACTGGAGTCACAGATGGCTGTTACCTGCCATGTGGGGTCTTCTGCAAGAACAGTGTTCTTAACTGCTGAGCCATCTCTCCAGTCCTATTTATTTATTTATTTATTTATTTAATTTATACATGAGTGTTTTTCTTTTTTGGGGGGGGTCTTTTTGAGACAGGGTCTCCCTGTAGCCCCAGCTGTTCTGGAACTCACTATGTAGACCAGGCTGGCCTTGAACTTGGAGATCTGCCTGCCTCTGCCTCCCGAGTGCTGGGATTAAAGGTATGTGCCACCACACTCGGCCATGAGTGTTTTTCTTAGATGTATGTTTTTCTTACATGCAATGCCCCCAGAAATCAGAAGAGAGTGTTGGATTCCCTGGAACTGAAGTTACAGATGGTTGTTAACTATCACGTGGGTACTGGGACTCGAACCTGGGTCTTCTGTAAGAGCAGCCAGTGCTCTTAACCACTGAGCTGTCTCTCCAGCCCATGGGTTCTGGAGCTGGGCCTGGTGGCTGGGTCGAACAGGACGCGCATGACAGCTTGGCCAGAGGATGACAGGCTTGTGGAACAGTGTCCTCTGGAATGCTTGGGTGGGGAGGGGGTGTCCCCAGAGCTATCCCATCAAGGAGCCATCAAAGAGCCCACAAGATTGCCATGGAATGCATTCGAAGGAGGTGTGTGGGGGGGTGGGGGGTTGGAGGGGTGAAGATGGGGCCAGCCGAGCTGTGGACCACTCCTTACTAACAAGACCCTCCTACCCAAACTAAAGGAACCTCTGCATTCTTACTCCTTACTAACAAGACCCTCCTACCCAAACTAAAGGAACCTCTGCATTCTTTCACCGATGGGCAGATGTGGAGCAAGGATCCATCCCATTCTACAGCGCCCAAAGCTCAAAGGGCATGAGCAGTGGCAGCTGTGTGGACATGAGCACAGGTCCCAGTGTTTCCCAAGGGATTCCTGTGATTTCAGGAAAGTGGCCAGGATTCTCTGTACCTGGCCAGTCCCTTCTTTGGGAAAATAGGGTTGCTGGAAAAAGCACCTGCCTCCCAGAGTGGTGGGGCTGCCATCCTCCAGTCATGAGAGGCCTGTGGACAGAGCTTGGCTGCGTTCAGGCTTGTCCTGGGCACACTGAGGGCTCTTCTGGGCGTTGGTATTCACCACTGACTGGTGCTGGAAACAGCCCTGCACGTAGCATGTGCTTCCTAAGTGTTGGATGAGTGAACATGGGTCAGAGGGTGACTCTTCCCTAAGGAGAAAGAGGGGGGAGACTAGAACTGACCCGCCAGGTGTTTGTGGAAGGCAGTAGTGACTGTGGAGCTGATTCTAGTGTCTCTGTGCAGCCTTAGCAAAGTGGACAGGCTACCTGTCTCAGGCCTCAGCACAGTCCAGGCCCTCTCTACCTGACTGAGAGTCTAGGGTGTCTCTTGGCCCTTCTAGTCCTATTTCTTCACCGGCCCCCAAGGGACTTGGAGTTGTCCATCCCAAAGGTGAATTCCTTGACACTGCTGTCTGGTTATACTCACTTAAGTGCCAAATTCTGGGTGGCGCTTGGTACTAGAAGCTAGCCTAAACGTGCCCTGTGGCTCCTTAGGACACCTAGCACCTTCTCCATGTAATGGGATAGGCCCTAGCACCTCATCCATGTAATGGGATAGGCCCACCTCCCTGGATTGCTGGGAACGATCCAGGAAGGAAAAGCTGGAGCTGGACCCTGTGTTTCCGCCCGGTGATTCCATCTCCCATCTGACTTTTTTCGTGCTCACATTGGGAACAGGCCGAGGCAGCTGTGAGCGTGGGAATCCCAGCACCCCTGGGTTCTGCCCTGGCCCCTTGGGCGATCTGCGGTCGGGCGTGGTCCCTTCTGTTCGTCCCGCACTTGAATGGCAGAACCATGGGGTCTGTTCGCCACCGCCTGGCCCCTCCGGGCGCATCAGTGAAAACGACTTTTATGGTCACGTCGAGGGGCCGCGCGCTGTCCAGGGCCGGCTCTGAACGGCGCCCCCGGCGTCTCCTCCCGCCTGGGGAGGCCCTGGGGTGCGTAGGCGGGGTCTGGGCTGGGGAGGACGGGGCTCTGCTTGGCCCAATCGGCGCCGCCAGTCGCCTGGGGGGCGTGGTCTGGGGGCTCCGGGCACGCTAGAAAAGGAGGCGTCCGCAGCCCGGGATGCACTCCCATCGCCCGGCGTCTTCTGGGTCCCAGCGCCGCGATCCCCCCGGAGCCCGCTCTGCCCAGGTGGGACCAGAGCCCCGCGGAGGTGAGAGGGGCCGAGAGGCCGCTCGGCTGGGTTTTTGGTGGTTGGTGGCTGGTTGGTTGATTTGGGACAGGGTCTCACGATGTAGCTCAGGCTGTCCTGGAACTCGCAGCCATCCCCCTGCCTCAGCTGTGATGTCAGGCGTGCACCACCGTGCAGGGTGGGTCCCCTCCTTCCTGCCCTTTGCTCCCCGCTCTCCCTGAGGTCCAGAGCCGGGGTGCCTAGCGCGGGTGGGGTTCGTTCCGGCTGCGCCCGCGCCCTGCGGAGCCTCTACCTGCGGCTCAGACATTTGCTCTGAGGAGCGCAAAAGCCCTTTTCGGATAAGGAAGCCGAGGCTCAGGGCACGAAGTCATTTGCCCAGGACCGACTCTCCGCCAGGAAGCGAGGGAGCTGGGGTCCCCGGCCGGGCTGCGCGGTGCGCGCTGGCCGGAGGCGCGCGTACGCCTCCCGGCGGCAATTCGGGGCCGTTTGGGGCGGTCCTGCGTCGTGAAGTGGGAGTCGGATGGCTTGGACGCGGTAGTTTCAGGAGGGCTAGGTGTTCGCACCGGCCGGTGCCTTTGTTAAAGGGCCACGCCCCTTTAAGGTTTCATTCTCAGGGAGCTTGCCGGGGGAGGCCGCTCCTTCCCCTATTGCGGATGAAGATACTGAGGGTCAGAGGGGTAAAGGGAGCTGTCCCTGTAGAGACAGGACTGGAACTCAGCTCTGCCTGCCTCCAGAGCAATTCTCCTGCCTCACTCTCCAGTGTGGTGGGATTACAGGCGGGTATTCCTGGGTCTGTTTCACTAGGGTGACCATAGGATAACTGCTGTGAGACCGGCGGCCCAGGTCCCTGTGGGGTGCAAACCCAGCACCTCCCTAGCCAGGGCAAGGGCTTAGTGGATGCTCCGTCTTGTAGTCCATCTTGAGCTGGGCATCTTTCAGCCAAAAGGTGGGTTGCTAGGGTGAGTAAGATCATCAGAGTGGCTGTATCAACGCCCAGCTCTCTCAGGGACCAAGAGTGGGTTGTGAATGTCCCCTAGGAGTCCCCAGACTTCTCATTTTGGTAGTAGAGTGAGCCTGCCTTACCCAGATGAGCCCACCCTGCCCGGGTAGGGTCTGGAGTCTGACAGTCCTGCAGAACAAGGCTGGACCATTCCCCCAGCCCTAAATAGACTGAAAGGAGTGTGCCAGGGGCGTGGGTAGCACAGACACTCTGCCTCAGCCCCCAGCTGGCTCCCCTGGAGAAGGAACAGCAGATGTGGGGCCACTTTACCTGCACTGGGAGCAGTGCCTGGACACCTGGGTCAGGGCTGGCTTCCAGAGCCCTGACTCCACACTGGAGGTGTGGAGTGGCTTACCCGGGAGGCTGGTGCCACACACTTTACCTGTGTTTCATCCTTGCTCCGTACCCAGGCAGTAGGCCTGTGGATCTCCTGTCACAGCTGAGGAAACTGAGGTCCAGCCAGGTAGAGTGCAAGAGCATTACCCCAGGTGGGTCTGGCTCTGAACCCTGTACTCTTGACTTGTGGGGCCCGCCCTGTTTAAGACACTTCTCTGTTCATTGCTATGAACCTGACCTTCCCAGGGATGCTTATCTGAAAGGCTCCAGGAAAAGTGGAGGGAGATTTCCATCCTTACCAAGTGGTAATGACATAACAAGACTGATAACTGATGCTTTCCTGACACCTCCTACGGGCCTACCCTGCTCAGGTCTTCCCCAGACCACCTCCCTGGCTGGCCTGACAGCTTCATCTGAGAATGTACTGGTGTGTGCCCAGCATGACACAGCTGGAGAGAACTGCCCCAAGCTGCCCTCCCGCCCCCCTCAACAGGAAGATGCTCTGCTGTAGGACTGTCACAGCAGAGGGCCACACGATTCTCTCTGGCTATGTAGTTGCTTTTAACATCATGGGAGAATGGGGTCCTTGACCAAGAGTAGGTGGGGGTGGGGCTAGGAGCTCTGCTACAGGGCTCTGACAGCGGTTTTGTGCGCTGAGAGACTTGCCTGGGGGACTGGGGTTAGTGCTGGCTCCCCGAGCCTGCCTCCATGCTGGACAATGTGGGGAGCGGCTTGCAAAGGTGATGGTGGACCTGGATCAAGGAAGGGGAATGTGAGGATCTTCCAAGCCCCTGAATGCCATCTTCTGCAGACCCCGAGTTGGACTCTGGGAATGTTTGTACTCAAGACCCCTGGCGCTGACCTTGGCCTTGTGGGAGCCGGCACCCTGCTCGTCTCTGTCGCCAGTGTAATTTATGCAGAGGGGAGGTGCCTCTGTGTCTGCTACTCTGGGCACAGGAGACTTTTTAATTTTTTTTTCAAACTCACTGGTTTTGATGAATCCCAGCTGTGCAGAGGCCTGCGTCAGTCAAAGGGGCTGATGGCTCATGGCTAATGAGGAAGAGAAACCACTGTGTGGCCTGGAGTCCATCAATTCACTTGATGGTCAGGTCCTTCAGCTTAGGGACCTTGAGCACCTTGAAGACCCTCAGTAGGTGCTCTGCCCCTCCACAGGCAGGGGAGGCACATGGCAGGGTGCTGGATCCAGGGTTCAGGGACCAGTTACATTGCTTTCTTTGTCTTTGAAATTAAATATATTATAAAATATGCATACACATAAAAATTTACCATTTTATTATTGAGTGATTGATTGTTTGAGACAAAGTCTATGTAGCTCCAGCTAGCCTGGAACTTGGCTATGTGGACCAGGGTGGCTGGCCTTGAGCTGCCTCTACTTCCCCAGTGCTTGGATTAAAGGCATGTGACAGCATGCCCAGCTATTTTTATTTAAAAAATTTTTAGATTACATTTACTACTTATTATTTATTTATTTATTGTGTGTGGATGTATGTACGCCCCAGTGCATGTGTGGCGGTCAGAGGACAAGTTGCAGAATTCATTCTTTCCTTCCACCTTGTAGGTCCTGGGGGTTGATCAAACTCGGGTCTACAGGCTTGGCAGCAAATACCTTTATCCTCTGAGCCATCTTTCCAGTCCAGACTTTACCATTTTAAAGTGCACAGTTGAGGGGCATTTAGTATATTGGCAATAAGCACTGCATGGTCAGTGCTATGATCTAATTCCAGAACGCTCTCATCTCCAGAGGGAATCCTATGTCGGTGAGTGACGGAGCTTGAGGCTCCTCCCCTCAGTGCTCACAGCAGCTCCTCTCCCCAGTGCCTCTGGGGTTTGTGCATTCTGGACGCTTCTCGCTGATGGAAACTCAGTATATTTTCGTGCATATCTGAACTTCCTCACTTAATAATTTAAGTTTTGTCATACGAAATGGTTTAATTATGGCATTCTCTCCTGCCCATGCCTCATACTTTATTCACTGTCCTCCCCACCTCCTCCTCTCTCCGTCCCACTCTTGCCACTCCCCTTCACCCTCCCAATAGTCCTCCCTTCTAGTTTGAGATCTGTTTTTATTGAGTTAGGGTCTCACTGCGTAGCCAGGCTGGCCTCAATCCTCTTGTCTCTGTCTCCTGAGTCTTTTGTGCTGAGAATGGAACTCAGGGCTTTGTGCAAGTGATGCAAGGGCTCTACCATTGAGCCACCCCCAGCCCCTCACCGGGGGATCCGAGGCAGGGGCTCCACCACTGAGCCACACCCCAGCCCCTCACTGGGGGATCCGAGGCAGGGGCTCCACCACTGACCCACCCCCAGCCCCTCAATTACTTGCTACGGTGGAACTCTATTCCATTGAGTAAGTAGAGCATGTTTGGGAGATGCCAGGGATTGGACCCAGGTCCTCATGCATGCCAGGCAAGTATCTACCACTGAGCTGTATCCCCCACCATCCTTAGAGCACAGTTTCCACCCACACTGCCTCAAATGTCCTGCTTTGGCTGTGGGACACTGTGCATGTACCATGCACACCGCTCCTTGGTGTGTTTTCATTTCTCAAGGATATACATACCTCGGAGGGGATGGCTGGGTCATGTGGTCACCCAGTGTCTAATAGTGAAGAAGCTGGCTCCTCCTTCCTCTGATCCTCCATGAGGAAGCATCAGCAGGGGTCAGAGGCCACTCTCATTCTGACAGTGGTGAGCTCCTTCTCTCCAATATAGGCAGATCCTGGTGTCTGGGTTTTTGTGGCAAGGCTGACATCCTGCCCTGAGTCACAGTGACAGCCTACTGAGAATTCAGAGTCTTTAGCTGGAAGTCCTGTTCCATCCCTGCCCCAGCTTTCAGCTGTACTCTTGGGCAGACACCCCCTCCCCCCCCGCCTTTCTAGGCCGTGGGGACATGATGATCCAGCCAGAGGGAGGTTTATCTTTGCTGCTCTTCAGTGCTGTGTCAGCTTAGACAAAACCCACAGACTCGGGATGGTGGGGGCAGCTAATGAGGGATTTTGCAATTTCTGGTCCATCAGTTAAAAATATTATAAACTATGAAAATCCACATCTTTCAATCCCAATATCTGGAGTGTATTGTGTTTGATGTTGAATGGAGGTATTCCAGAAGAAAAAGCATCCATTTTGCTTGTGGGCCAAGGATCCCAGAGCTGACCCTGTCCTAAAATAATTTTGAGTGGGAATATACCCACTTGCTCCTGAGAATTGGGAACTGGCATCAAGCGTTGTCTGTCTTCTGGCCCTGCGTGGAGCAGGCCCAGGACTCCAGGCCAAAGAGGCCACGTTTTGGCGGCAGAGAAAGAGGAGTGTGGGTGGAGGGAACTGGTGAGGCTACACCGGGCAGAACGCCACACAGGCCTCGGGTGGGAGTGGCCGGGTCGGTCTGCCCCAAAGGCATGCGTTATGTCACTAAGCAGACACCATCTAGGGGCAGGTCACACAGGTGATGGGGGGCATTTGTCCTTGAACACAGCTTGATCTGAAGTGAGCTGTACTCCCAAAGCAGGGATAGGCCTGCCTGGGGGACCCCCAAGGTGAAAGAACAGAACAGGGACTCCGGGAATCTGAGAACTACTCGCTGGGGTCTCTGAGCCCTGTGCTTATAGAAGGTGAAAGTATCAGGTAGGGCCATTGGGCCTTACCCCCCATCTCCATGGTAACAAACAGTG